GTAACTCTTCCCATCCCCCCCATGTGAATGAGATTCTCCAGGCACCGGTAGAGCTGGCGCAGCCCCGGCACCCAGGGCACCCATAGGCTGTGTCGGTTCCTACCAAGGTGGCTCGTGGTGAGAGCCCAGGGGGACTGCTCCCTCCCCCACCAGCAGCCTGCAGGGTGCCTAGAGCCTTCTGGCCTGTGGGAGTGCTCGAGGGTGAGTCCCTTTCGCCAGGAATGGAGCCAGCGTGCTGAACTTCAGGGTGACTAGACCTCCTCTCAACATTCAGGACTCGGGCTGACAAATGCTTCCAGCGAACCAGAGGCACCCCACTTTCCCAAGGGTCCAGCCGGCAGCCAGCCTCTGCCTGGCAAGGCTGTCTTGGAGCAGGGCTTTGCGAGCGAGTGGGCTGCTTCCTGTGAAGCCCAGGCCGTCCCCCTCCCAGGCCCAGGGCTCTGCCCACTCTGTCTCAGGTCTCACGTCAAATCTCTCACCTCAACAAGGCTTCTCTGACTCCAAGAGAGTTGGCCCATGACAGCAACCGATCTGTTTCCTTCCTAGCGTTGACTACAACCCACAGTGGTTTCCTGTTTGTGTTCTCGCTCCTGTGTGTCTCCCTACATGCAGTGTCCTGCCCTGAGCACCATATCATGGCGTGCCTTGTGTCCCTAGCACCTGGAGTCAGGTCTGGCACAGAGGAGGTGCTCCAGGACTGTGACCTGGCTGTGTGGGGGAAGCGCCCCACTGTTTCCACCTGTGCACGGTGCAGGCCAGGGAGCTGTGTCTCTGCAGGCTCTGGCGCAAACTCAGGGTCTGCAGCTACGGACAAGGCACTTATACGGTCTCTGTCGTGAGGGAGTCCAAGTTCACGACACCAGCTCCCATCCACCTTGGGCCTGTCTGAGAGGATACATTTTCTTAGGAGGGTCAGGCTGGGGAATCATGGGACCATGAACTGCGCTCCTGGATGGCACGCCCGCCCCCATCCAGACCCACCCGTGTGCACAGGGGGCTCCCAACGGCAAGTCGTCAGTCCTGGGTCCTTAAAAAACCTGACCATGACCCAGGCTGTGCACTGTACTTCCCCGGTGGGTAGGTATTTTTGCTCAGAAAAGAAACATTAAATCTATCTGTATCTGCCAATGGGTAGGCACTTAGTTGCTATACGGGAACCTTCCAGCCACCAGTGCCAGAGACCACCACCATGCCGGCCTGGGGCTCACGGCAGGCAGCAGTGAGGCTGTCGACATGGGGCGCCTGGGATTTGGTGCTGTCCATGCTTTCTGCGGCCATGGCCCACTCTTTTTGGCCTGCTCAGGGCCAAGCCGCCACCTCAGTGTGGCTTCGTGGTGAGGTGGGATGTGGTAGTAAGCATTTCAACCCTAGTCCTTTGCTGAATGAGGAGTAGGGACCTCCCGAGGTGGCATCATGAGAAGGGGGCTCTTCTCAGTAGTCAAGCCAGGGACAAGATCTTGGAGGGAAGTGCTGCACGGGGCAAGCTTGCCTATGGGGGTTAGCATCCCACAGTAGAAAACCAGCATGTTTTCCCTCATGCGCTGCTCGGCACCATCCCCGAGAGAGAAGCACTCCCTGCTGTACTTTGCGCCAAAGAACCGGTTACTGAGACTGAGTCAGAGTTCGAAAACTGCCATGTGGTATGGTCAGTGATGAGAAAATGGGCCCCCTGCAATGGGGGACGAAGAAAGTCCCACCTCCTCTGATCCCTTGACAGGGTCCCACAGGCTTAGCTTCCACTGTCACTAAGCTGGGCCACTTCCCCTTGTCTGGGAGGCAATGGCAGCCGAGGTCTGTGAGTTCACATCAAGAACCCTGATCTGAGTCACAGAGGGGATCTCTAGCACCAACTGGTACAGATGGATGTGTTTCTCTGGTGCCGTAACTTTCACGTAACAATTCCCATTTCTGACTGTGTTCAGTAAATTTAATTAGTGTCAAAAATCCGCTTATTTGGTAAGATGATCAGTTTCTAACCTGGGTAAACGACTTTCTTTATGACTATAAATTAAGCATATTATATCTTTTTCACGCATCATGATCGTCCTCATAAATACTGTAGGCAGTTGCTGGCGGTCTCACTTGGTTACCTTTCCCATTACTGTTTTATCACCATCCTGCTAGGATGGGGAATTCATTCTATTTTAGTAACAAGGAGGAAGTAGTGACAAGGGGCTTGTTCTTGCAAGGAACCCACAGCTTGGTCCACATTTCTGCGGCCAAGGATGGGATTCCAGGCCCACCCCTGTGCACGGCGTTCCCAGCTCAACACCGGGCCTGCTGGCCACAGACTAGGAAAAGCAGATGCATGGCTGTTCAGCTACTTTTGTCTTAATTGCAAATAATTAAGATCAAATATTTGCCAACAACCCATTTCCATGTCAGGAGAACCTGAGTGTTCTTGGCAATGTCTGTGAGCACAGGTTGGCTGGAGTGTTTTCTTAACACTGACTCCTCAGTGTACAGCCTATGGGGGAGGCCTCAATCACACCTGTGATCTACTCATACATGGGCACTGGAGGCCTGGTGTCCAGTGCTGGTCTTCGGAGGATCTCACTGCAATCAGAGTGTGTGGTGTTTGAGAGGAGAAAGGGTCAGATGGCAGGGGTTCTGCCCCCACCCTCTGCCTTGCCAGCCACTGCGAGCTGGCTTGGCTATAACTGCTTAGGCTGGTTTAGGTGGACTCTGAAGTCTCTTCCTACTCTGCCACTCCAGAGTCCAGTCTCCTTTACCCCACAAGGCTCACCTCCATTGACCTTTGTCTCCCCTTTGTACCTCTATCCTTCCAGTTTTCCTCTGCCCTCTGCTAGAGGAGACAAGGGGAGATGTCTCCCTTAAAAGGTTCCCCCATGAGGGTATGGTGTTCCCACTACCCTCCTCATCTCTGCTTGTAACCTGAGGTTTGACCAGTGACACCAAGTCAGAGCTGAGGAGGTCAGCTTTTAAAACTACTGTGTTTCCTAAAGTGTCCAAGGCTGTGTGAAGACAAAGGCCCCATACCTGCAGGGTCTCTCTCATCCAGACATCAGGGCAGTCATTCTCGGGAAGGGAATTCAAGTGTGGGGGAGGCTCAGACTCGCCCTGGCAGTGAGCACCTCAGAGAGGTGCTAGACCCCAGGGGGTGAGTGCTTGGAGCTGAGTCAGCTGGAATGTGAGCATAGTCTGGGCAGGGCAAATACCCTGAAGCAGGAACTGAGAGGCCAGACACTCAGAAACTTTGGCTCTGCTTCTTCAAACTGTAGCCATGAGTGGGTGCCTTTGCCATCACACGGGAAGTTTATTAAAACAGTGATACAACAGCAGTGCTTTGTGTTCTGGCTGTCTTGGGAAAGAAACAAAAGCCAGTATCTTTAGAGCTGTATTAGTTTCTTCTAGTAGCCGCCAGCGCTTTCCAGGGTAACCCATTTTGCAGCACCCAAGAGAGTCATGCTAATCAAACATGCTCTGTGACAAAGCAGCCATCAACACCATGGGTGGAGGCCCTCCAGCCCAGGGCCTCCCACTGCCAGGACCCCTCGGCTCCCCTTCACCTGTCAACCTTGACAGGAAGACGTGTGCAGAGCCGATAAATGCCACCGAGCCTCCGCTGTGACATGCAAACATCAGCCAAGTGGATAAAGAAGATTCCCACGCCTGCTTAGGATCTGCACTTCTACACTGCTCAGAGATATTTTGACCTTCTAGTTTATTTTGATTCAAGAAAAAGTCAATATTTCTTAGCTTGCCAAGGCTGGAAGAATTTAAATGAATTATTGAATCAAGCAGTTAATCTATTGATAACTGATTTTTTTCCTTTCAAATCTAGAATGATGAAAAGCAGGCTTAATGGAAAACAAGAAAAAGAAGGTTGTTTTTCCCCCAGACGTTTTAATCCCATGGGATCAGAGCTGGGGCCAAAGGTTCAGTGTTGACCACTAGGGCCATTCTGTCTCGCTTGAAAGTTGTGAAGAAGATACAATTAAAACTTAAAAGCAAAGACTTCCGTGGCCGTAAAATCTGCATCCATGATTTAATTATTTGTATTTCGATATCTTTTTCCTATTCTCAACTTGTGTTTGCTGCCATTAATGCTGCATGGCAAACCTCTCATTTTCTGAACTCCTCTGGTGGAATGGAATGTCATTTTGGGGGTGCTTGCTTGGCCTTTCGTGTAAGTGGGCACTTCCAGCAATAAGATGGTCTCCCGGCCTGCCCACATGGGAGTGTGCGCTCTGGGCACCACTGCCTCACACCACTGGACACGTGTGTTGGGTGCAGGGGACACCCAGCAGCATGGCAGCAGCCATTCCCCAGGTCTCAGCCTTCCTGCCACAGCTGTGGCTTCCTGCTTTGTGCTAGAAAGGGCTGGGCGGTAGAGAAAGGCTACTGGTCCCACTGCTGGTGGTGTGTATCCTGGAGAACCACATTCTCACCCAGAGACAAAGGTCAAGCTCAAGCCTCCCTGCCATGGCTGACCCCATCCTGAACATTTAAGAGTATTGCTTTCTCCTTTCTTACTCCACACTGACTCCCTAGACTCTGCCGTTTTTCCCACTGCCTGCCCTACATATCTGACCACACTTGCTCTGCTTGGCACTCTGTGTCTCCTAGAATCACTCCTGACATCCTTACCCTTCCCATCCTGCCCCTGTACAGAATTCCTCCTCCCATCAGGTCATTCCCTCCAGTGCAATTACGGGAGCCATGGCTCAAAAGGCAAGCCATCCTCCTCTCACTTGGCATGGTCCATTGGCTCTTTGCTACCTCCATGTGGTCCCCTGTTTACTCTTCCCTTCCAGGATTGGTGTGCCTTAGATGGTTGGTGTGAGCCATAAAACCTGAAGCCTGTGCAGCTGGGCACTGCTTTTGGCATCTGTGACCACCTCCTGTCAGTAGGGCAAAGACTCTTTTGAGCACCCCAGACCCCAAGCCCTTGGCTTCACTGGCAAATGGAACCACAAAGGAAGCCCTTGACCACCCTCCCCAAATGCTTGCAGCTGACGCTCTGTGTTTGTGTTCAGCAGGACTTTCTGATGGGCTGCGAGCCTCCTGTGGGAAGAAGTTCTGCAGCCGCGGGAGCAAGTGCATGCTCAGCAGAGAGACCGGGGAGCCCGAATGCCGGTGCCTGGAGGCATGCAGGCCCAGCTACATGCCCGTGTGTGGCTCCGATGGGAGGTTTTATGAGAATCACTGTGAACTCCACCGAGCCGCCTGCCTGCTAGAGAGGAATATTGTCATTGTCCACAGCAAGGACTGTTTCCTTAAAGGTAGGAAGATACCTCCTTGCACCTATGCTTTTGGTTTTGGGGATGGATCTTCTCATGCCAGGGTGCTGAGTCTGCAGGTTGGATGTGTAAAGGCAGTAGAGGAAGGCAGGAGCCTCAGCCGGGTAGCAATAGCAACATTTCAATGAGGCATGTTCTGTGTCTGTCCACCTCCAGAGACCCCCTGCCTTTGGCGGGGGGGCCTTGGAGAGCAGAATCTAGGCAGACCTTTGGGGTAGGACAGGGAGGGGAGAAGAAGGGATGGAACCCACCAACTGCCTGCAACAGTGATGGAGAGGTGCGTCAGAGCCGCCTGGGCCTGGGCACCCAGAGCGGAGGGGCAGGGCTCAGGCTCTCCCTAATGGGACCCAAGCTCATGGTGCTATGGCCGGGATGTCAGGGAGTTCTCCGCAAGGGAGCACAGGTCTATTGGCCCCCTACAGCCGCCCCCCAAGCCACCTGCAGACACATGAAGGGCCGCTTTCCCATCCTGTCTGCGCTGTGGCAGCAGAAGTCGAGGTCAGGGGGGAAGGTGTCCTGGAGAAGGCAAAGCTCTGGCAGGTCGGGCTTCCCCTCTGAGTAGAAGTAGCTTTGGACACGTTCACGGCTGTGCTTCTGACACTCACGCTGAAGTGCTGCAGGAGTCATGAGGCACATTATGGAAATGAGGCCAAAATGAGCCCAGGAAAAACGTTCCCAGTCTGAAAACCCTGCCCAGCCTCATGCCCGCCGAACCCCGGCCCTACGCGCGCTAAAACACTTGACCAGCTGCTCCAGCTTCATTGGCCGTGTTGAATTTTATAGACTGATGTTCCGTTCTCCAGTTTCCAATATCCCCCAAATTGCATCTTTCTAAAGGTTTTTATTTCTGCTTCAGAGTGCGCCCAGCCTCCCTCACCATCGGTTATTCAAACAGCATTTCTCATTTCATACAAGGGAAAAACAACCACCATGAAAGCTGCCTCGGCAAGGGAGGATGGGCAAGAGCCGGGGAGGATGGGGGCCGCCGGTGCACACGGATCAGGGCTTGGTTCTGCTTCATGCTGATTGAATTCATCCACCAAATCCTTCTGATTCATTGAGGTTTTATACGAATTTTGTGAATGCCCGTGCTGTGGACAGCAGTCCCCACCAGCTCCCAGAGAGGCCTAAGGGTGCCGTCTGGCTCTGCCACTTCCCAGCTGTGTGACCTTGGGCACATCACTCCACTTCTCTGGGCCTTTTCCTCTGCTGTGAAAGGGGCTATTGGCAGTATGGAGGAAAGTAAATGAGAGGCTACACAGACACCCATGTGCCAGGCACATCAGTGTGGTGTATTAGTGACCCCTGTCATCCTGTTTTAATCCAGCGTGGCCTTGGGCCTGGAGCAGAGAGGCACAGGTCATTCGGGGAAGGCAGAGGCAGGAACAAGTGCCCTGCCCAGCAGGTGTGGGGCCCACATGGCTTCTGGGTAGGTGGAGTCAGGAATGAAGAAGCTGAGGGTCAGGTCCTCATGCTGAGATGCCCAACGGGAACCAGGGCTCCTGTTTCTGCAGACCCAGCTCCGTGTGTCTGGACACCATGGAGGAGTCCTCACCATCTCCTGCTCAGATCGGCTCCCGTTCCAGGAAGCGGGAAGGCCCGCCTGCCTCTGTCCTCCAGCATCCCCACCAGGAGTGCCCAGCAAACAGTGAAGCCCTGTTCACTGACCACAGGGGCTTGGCAGGGATGGAGGGCAGGCAGGGGGCTTCGGGTGGGCACCACCCCACCTGCCCCAGAGCCATGGTTCCAATAGGAAACAAGAGGACACAGTAATAGGGGCTGGGGAGCAGAGGTCTTAGAAGGGAAGAGGCAGTAAAGGACAATATTCTACAGCCCCACCCCGAGATAGCAGTAGAGTATTTAATCCCCTCTTCAGCTCCACGGATGGTGGTTTGTCTTTTGTCCCTACTTCCAGGGAGTTATTGATAGAGGAAACTGAAAAATACCTTCTTTTTTTCATGCAAATAGTAATTCTAAATTCATCCATGTTCATTCTCTTTTCCTACCAGACTTTTTCTAAAGAAAAGTTCTGACTTCATTCTCAGGTTTCATTTGTACCCCAGAAGTCACTATGAGGACACACTCCTCATGGGGCTGGGTGTGTAGAGATGGTGGGGGGGACATGGTGGTGGACTCAAGGGGCCGCAGCTCGGAACACCCCCTCTGTGGCTGGGGCCTGGGCTGTCGGCGAAGCAGGGAAGGTGATTCTCTGGAGGGCTGCGTGGAGACCACAGCCCTCTTGCTCTGCAAGGGAGGAGAGGCGATATTCTAAGCCCCAGTTTCAGGAAAACTTCTGGTATCACATTGCGGTTGCTATGGCAATGGAATTCCTCGTGAATATGGAATGAAATATAACATCATTTAGGGATTATTAGCATGTGAGTAAAGCAACACTGAACTCAAATCATTGCTTCAGCTCATCTTTGCAGCTTTTGATACCAGCTCTCCCGACATCCCAAGCAGGGTGTCCCCTGCCGAAAATCAGGGGGACAGAGAGATGTAGGATTGTCAGATCTCTTTCTGCCTGTGGCCAAATTAAAGAGTTGTTGTTGTTAAAGTGGTGTTCTCAGCACCAGATACCACCAGAGAATACCAAGACAGTGGGTGGAATTCTCTGTAACTCTAACTCCTCATAGGCTTTGTGTTTGCAAAGTTACCTCATGACATGGGGTTCCTATTTGTATACTGGTTGGCACTTTTAAAATTGTTTTTCTGTCTCCGTTTGGAATTCACGCAGTATCTCCTGCGCTGTTTGAGAAGACAAGCTTGCTTTCAGCCGTCACTCACTACACCGGGCTTGTATTATCCCAGATGATACAGTGTCATAGTTGGGCAGTTTTCCAAACAAACCGTGAAATTATGGAAGAAAGAGGCCTGTTAGGGGTACAGTTCTAAACGGATCTGAAGATTCTTCTTCCTGCTTGGTGTTTTTGGAGGGCACTTTGATGCTTCAGAGACAAGTTTCCAGGCTCATGAAATCAGAGGAAATAATTTCCGTTTTTAACCAAAAAATGAAACACACTACAGGCTCACTAACAAACCTTTTTTTTAAGTGTTACCACACAGGGAATAAAAACCCAGCCTTTTGAATAAATGAAACAAGATGGGATCGGGAGGGAGACAAACTATAAGAGACTCTTAATGTTACAAAACAAACTGAGGGTGGCGGGGGGAGGGGAAAGGGGGGTGGGGTTATGGACATTGGGGAGGGTATGTGCTATGGTGAGTGCTGTGAAGTGTGTAAGCCTGGCGATTCACAGACCTGTACTCCTGGGGCTAATAATACATTATATGTTTATTAAAAATTAAAAAAAATATATATATATACAAACAAACAAACAAAGAAAAAAACCCAGCCTTTTGTGGCAAGGCAGAACAGATAGGTCTTGCTGCCAAAGAGGCTTCTTCTATTGTTGTTCCTGATGGTACTTTGAATGTTACTGCTTCAGAACTGAAATTTAGGTGTCTCACCTTCAGGTCATTTCCATACTTTCCTGCCCTGCAAGAGAGTGAGTGCTACTCACATCCCCCCGCTGGGGGCCCAGGCTTTGGTTTCCCCCTCGGTCAGTTGAAACAGGTCCCCACAGCCAGGGAGGTGCTGAGGCCTGAGTGAGCCTTGCAGGCGGGAGTAGGCGGGAGCAGGCCTTGCGAGGGGTGGGGGAGTGGGGGTGGCACAGGCTCAAAGGCACGGCCTGAGGTCCATCGCGGGCCATGCCACACCTCCTTGGTCAGGGCACGTGAGCTCTCTGTGCCTCACTTACCCCATCCATAGAACAGGAATGACGGCGGTGCCTGCCTCACAGCTAGGCTGCGGTGGGCATGAACTGAGCAGCGGCTGGCCGGTGATGAGCTCACTTCTCTAAGCAGGGTCAGCTGCTGCTCAGGACCACGGGGATGCCGTTGCAAACATGGTGACATAGCAGAGAGGCAAATGAGAGAGGCCTTAAGATGCCTGCCCCTGGACAGCACTGTGTATGAGCTAAGAACTTGGTGGGGGCCGGGGCGGGTGCGCCTGTGAGCGAGGAGAGAGATGATCACTGGTTCTCCATGTTTATGGAACGAGTGGCTAGAACTGAATCTCCAAATGGGCAAACTAAACTCACCTCTAGCTGCCTTGCTGTTTTAGAAAGAGATGTAACAAGTCATTTAGGTTCACCTAGCAGGTCAGTAGAGATGCTGAAGGTGTTCCAAAAGCCCCCGATTCTGAGTCTAGAGGAAGTTCTGGAATGCATGGAAGGCTCCTGGGAACTGCCAGTTGAGCCTCAGGGAGGGGTTCATCTGCCAGAGGGTGAGAAGGGGCATGTCCAGGGAAGAGAGAGTAAGGGGCATCTCCCAGGGTGAGTGAGGGCAGGAGGGTGGTCCTTAGCAAAGCAGGCATGGGGTTCCTGCAGACTCAGAGAAGAGCAAGGGCCTAAAATGCAGATCATGGGGAATGTGGGTTCACACTGGGTAAAGCGGACACTTGGGGAAAGTGAGCTGAGAAAGGCCTGCACACCAGGCTAGGGTGTTTGCATCCAAGCTGACTGTCCGATGAACCAGTCCAACTTCCTCGTTCCCCAGACAGGGACCCTGGGGCCCAGAGAGGGCTGGTACCTAGTCCAGGTTACTCAGGCCCTGCCTCTGCAGCCTGCCCTTGAGAAGCAGCCACGGCTCTGGGGCTGCTCATCCCAGCAAGGCATGTTCACGACAGATGCGGCCACTTTCTTCTTCTCCCCTGGACACCTCTTGGTGTCTTGGAAGGCTCAGGAGCCTTGATCAGTGAGAAAGGTCTGGGAGCTCTTCAGTGGGGGCCTGCCCTCTAGATCAGCAAGAAGCCCAGTTGGGAACAACTCCCAAAAACCTGGCTCAGTCATCCCAAACTGACAGGTCCTCTGGATGTCCCAACACCAGACCACTCTCCCCAGTGAGGAAGGAATAGGAACGCAGGTTCACTCAGAGGCCACTGAGCCCCAGGACAAAGCAGCAGAGCCTCTAAGACCAAT